TGTTTGCACTAATATTTTCTCCTGAATCTCTAACACTAGGTCATTGGAAATGTTTTTAGCGTCAACGTTGAGGTTAAATTTTTTTGGTCACACCGAATAAGCATCGTGATGTCCAGACACTAATAACAGGATACAGTAACGCATAATAGGCTACAGTAGTGCATTAGTGGCGATGTGATAACCTGTTAGCTCTGTTTTCATCCGTAAAGCTTCTTCGTTGCTATTTATCAGGTGCATTTCAGTTCATCGCACTTTGAACACCCGTCTTTTTTTTGAGAGAGGAAAATATCGAAAGTGCCAATTCGTGTTTTAGTGATTGAAAATGAGTTGTAAACATTTATACCACTTCTAGCATTTGGGACAAGTATATAAATCTTGCCTGTAAAAACTGCAGATGTTCTACTGCAGTGCGGAAAATTCCTGAACAAACGTTCGTTTTCCTACTTCTTCATGTCCTCTGCATTGTTAGACCCGTCAATGCTGCTCGTTGTCAGAACTCCATTGTTACACAGACTTTTTTAACTCTTTCATCCGAGAGGAGCATGCTTTTCTGACATGAATTTGAAATTGAAACCTATTGTGAGCAAAACAACTCTCAGTATTTCGACGGTGCTTGTTGTCATGTTCGCTGGAGCTTTGCTGGAGATTCTCATATGACCTTCGATGCTCCTTAAAATGAAGAGAAAGCACTCTTTGTTTTCAGAATGGATAGTAGTAACTAATCATCATTGTTCTGGGTCTTGTCTAGCTTTCTGAGATTGGAGCTCTTCAATGTTCATTTTACACCAGAAAACCCTCCGTATCATTGCTGCTCTTCTCTAGGCTATAGTATGCCCCTTGAGGGTTCCGTGTGACTATCAGAGCTGATGCTCGTCCAGCCGTATCGAGCTAGCCGCGCGCACCGCCCTTCTTGACAATTTGCTGCCATCAGCCAGTCCGTCGTGGTGCAACGAGCTGGCCATTGGCGGCTCAGCTGCACTCGGTATGTTTGCTGGACGTCGTTCGACGACGACAACCTTTGTTCATTCTTCTGCAGCTGAAGATAGCCCATGGCGTCGATTTCCGACGATGATGGCACGGATTACTGAAGCAGGTCGTCGGTCTAGGCAGAAGGAATCTACGCCGGGTACCGTCGGCCGATCCGTCAGCTGTTTTGCGATGGGCGCTTCGGTTGCTTCGGCCGTAACACCACTGTCACCGTGTTGTTTGTCGCCGGTGACGCAGCTGAGGGTTGGTATGCTTGGTCGTTCTTTTTATCTATGGAGATTTAGTGGAGAATTTGCCACAACCAATCACTTCTGAATAGGTCCTGCTTTCATTCTTTTTCGTTTTATCTTTATTATCACCCTATCGCAATTTTTTCTGGCTTAAACAAATCATTAGCAATAACCGTCGCCAGCATGTTGCACCACTATTGAAAACTACCGCTTGATGCAATTATTCCATAGAAAATTGTTGAATTTTGAATGCAATCATGTTAGGCAGTTTTCTTTCTGAGCGGCTTTATCGGGCAATGTTCAGGTCTTCACTCTCAGACAACTTGATTTGTGTGTCCCTAGACATTAAGACGTTGCTAACGTCATTCATCATTGGGAATTTCTTGGCATTCTATTGTCTTAGAGTAGTCTGTTATAAATTAGAGTTTTAAAAGTAATTTATATACTCGAATGTGGGCGGCAATGATTACATAATAAAGCGGGAAGATTTAATAAAAATATCATGAGGTCTTCTGGACCGATGTCTGTCTAGAATCCTGAATGGTTATAGTTTCAACGAGTTCTGGTCAGTAGTGTTGAGTGAGTGAGTGAGTGAGTGTTGTTCTGTGTCTGAAGTGTGAAATGTTGTTGTGGCAGTCGGCGTCTTTCTCCCATTATTTTTGTTCATGAACTTATATTTGCACTAAAAGCATTCGTAAATTTCAATATCTATGCAGCCGTGAGGATGTGCTCATACTTTGGTTTGTTGGTTTCTTACTTACCAATCACTGTCTACCTGTTGCGTGCCGCAATAGGGAGGCATGCGTTTCTAATGCACTCAAAACTTAGAGCTTTGAATTTTTGTGTTCTCATTGGTGTCTCTTTTGCTGGTGTTGATTTCAAACCCATATAATCGATATAATATACAAATTTGTTTCTTCTTTTCTTGATGTTCCGCACAACTTGCTTTTTTTCCTCGCTCTATATTCGAGAGAACTTAAACTCGTAGGATTATTGACAGCGGGAATAGACGAAGCAGAATAGAGTATAACGTAGCATATAAGTATATGGCGCGATAGTGCAGTGATTAGCGATGCTGTCGATCAGGAAGCAAAGGTCCTAGTCCGACCCCTCTGCAACGTTGTACTCCAGTCTACGTAAGAACGCCGTAGCCCAGCTATTTCAAAGAATGCAAGGAGAATCGACTCGACTGGTGTTTTGTTGAATTCATAAAAAAGACGAAATCCTCAAGCAGCAGTTGAAACAACGCGCAAAATATTCGAAGACCATTGTGGACGATGGATGCGAGGGATACGAAATCGAATTGAGCAAGTGCTGGGACTCGCACAGCAGATGTGATTAGGGGTTATGAAAAAAATTATATAAAACGTATGGCAGTATGCATTTGGATAATCTTAACACGAAATTAAATGTTCTGGAATGCAGAATTCATTTGCAACGCAACTGCTTGTTGGTCATTTATGGCTCTGTTGTTTCATGAGGTACGTAAAAAGGATATTGTTCAACATTTTAAAATTTTCCATGAAATCATTTTTTAAAATTTGTTTGTTATTTATTAATTTATGCTGACATTTAGTTAAATATATGTTGATGAGGTTAGTAAAAGGAAAAGCAGGAAATGGGAAAAAAGAAAAGAAATTGATTATCGATGAAATTAGCTGCTGTTGTCCTCAATTCGAGAGTTGTGCACGATTTGTTTTCTGTCATGGCCTGCGTTTATCATCTTTTGGGGTGATTCATGGCTGGAGAACTGAATTTGGAGAGCTTTGATAGTCCGCATAAAGCGCGAAAGACTTTACCTCAGTCTTTATTTGTGCTATAATGTGTTTACACTATCTCTGTCGTCTGGACTGGAACTACAACTTTGTCCAAGCGTTTCTGTGTGTAGGCTTTTTCAATGGCTTTACCCATATAGTTTTCTGATGAATTATGCAACAAAGTCAATGAAAGATCCACAAGCGAATCTGACGCCTACCTATTCTCAGTTATGACTTCCATAGCTATACAGCTTTAGAATGGTAGCTAACGAGTAATGGCACTTCTATGCGATCAGAAATGATTTTGTAAAGCTAGTTAGAACGTGTTGTCTGTTTCCGTGAGTGCTTATTTTGTCTTGAAGTGAATCGAGGGGTTAAATATTTATGAAGTGTTTGTCGCAGTAACACGCGGTCTCAATCTTCACTTAGTATTCCGCTTTTTTGACTCTTAGAGTTCGTGTATGTGCGATAGCGAGAAGAAGAATGATTTTTTTTGTTAGTTCAATTACCGCAAACTTGCTTTTATTACGCATCAGAAGGGTTTTTCTAACTCTACAAGTGAACGAATTCATAGGAAACTCACTGGCTAATTCGTATATTAAATAGTAGCCCTGCACGCACGAAAGCTACTTCGTGGATGCAGTAGCATGCTTATAAAGTGTTATCCATGGGAAGATATGATGACAACACTTATTTGAAGGAAAATAATGAAATCGTTATGATGTCGTTTATGAGAAATAAGAATAGCGGGCCCTTATCCGCTGTTTATTTATAAACCCAAATCTGTTAGTGTTCTAAAAAAGAGATCCGATCGAATAAGTCGAGCAGGTACCAAAGAGATCGCCATTCTGTTCACCAAAACTGGTCAATAGCTCCAGCTTGTTGTTGCAACACGATGATGAACACATTTTTCAAAAGAGGCACTTTATTTTTAGTGGTCTTGTTGAAAGTGTACCCAAGGGTATCCTTGGATTAGACATGATACATTGTTTAGGGCAATCTTGAACATCTTGAAGCACTTTCTGTGCACTTCCTGCGCATTTTATTGTAGTGAATAGGACCGCATCCGACAAAGAGGATACATTTCGCATACAGGCTTGTGGACCTTGAACGTATGGATGTGATTACGTATATACACCAATCATAAGTCAGTCTGGTGCAGCAGGGAGGTGTTGTCTATCATCTAAGTCGCAGTGCAAGTACATAGTTGCTTTTATTTCGTCTGTCACACTCTGTCATCTGGGTGCTTACGGCTAATCATCCCAAAATCTGTCATGGAGAAAATCCTTGGATACTTTGAACTGTTTTGGGCAAAAATGCTTCAGTTAACTAAGTTTCGTGCTCTGGGAGAAAAAAAACTGAAGGAAGAAGAGGTAATGAAAAGTATTCTACTACAGTATGGATCATGAGAAGGGAGCGCATGTAAGGGAGTGATTACAGATGCCCTTTAATACACTTATGTTCATGACATCAATCCTGCACTCCGGGCGCACTAAGCCTCCCATCCCTCCGGGGTTGGCAAATTGTTTTTGTCAAATACGCTGTTTGTCTGAAAAGATAGCAATACTGAACTAAAACATCGGTAGGCCCATACAGGTTATTGTATAGGAAAGTTATGCATCCATTCATTTCTAACGACGCCTAATGAAGTCGAATGCATGGCGCATTTTTCAGGAATTGATCTATGCAGAGAGATTTATCCGTTTTGTCCTTTACAAATCATCACAAGTGTCTAATGAGCCATTGATACACGGTAAACGGCAGTAGTACGTCGGAATCTAAACGTTTCCAATCCGCAGATTCAACAAGAAAAGAAGATGAATGTATAAGTGAATTTAATAGCTACATGCTGGTTATCCTGATAAAGTGCAACAACATGGCTCGTAAAAAGAACTGGGTGGGAAGGAGGTTCCAAGTTTTGCTCCTATCTCAGCATCCTTTCAGTTTTATTTCACATTACACCCTGCCATGAAAGGAGTAATAAGCAGTAAATGGAAGTTAAAGCAAGTGTTATAGTTTTCCTTGCATGCATGTTGAAGATATATTCTTTCATTTCCAGAAGGATGTTCATACACTATCGCAGACGACGCGATCGAGTGCAGCACGTCGAAGTCTGAACGCGTCCACGTCGCCAGTGCTGGCGCAACGATGCTCCAGTCCAAGCCGCGCCAACGTCGCTTGCGGTAGTACCACCACCAGCAACAGAACCGCAGTAAATGTGGGAGTACCGATGAGGTGAGTGAGAAAGCAATACGATTGTGAAGGTGTGATCCCGCTGATTTCTTGGAAAAGTTTATTTTAGTGTCAATTTTTTCATTTGCATTGCTTTTTTGCTCCTCTAGTTTCTTTATTTTAATTATTTGAATACTTAGACGGCTCGTCCTCACTGATTGTGCGGGCTCCAGCATAATCTCCATTTTTCGGAGTTTTGCTGGGTTAGCCATTGTGTCCCTGGATGACCGAAGTCAGCCTGGCCAAAGTCTGCTCCAGGTCGTCCCCACCACAGGTAGTCGCCGCCCTTGTGGATTAGAGGGAGATTTGTACATCTCAGTCCGAGACCCAGGAACACCTTCCAGCCACAATGAGGCTCTAAACCGTTGGGAGGAGTTTTCTTATAGGTATCATTAATCACAGTTTGCTATTGAAATCTATAAAACTTCTGAGAAAGAACGTGTAAGACCCAACTAATGTTGCTGATGTAGCAGTCAAGTTACAAAAGTCCAATCAACTGCGACCAGTTTGGTACCAAGACGGTGGTTGATTCTGGTATTGGTTTACTCTTAGCTAGGCTTCTTGATGGAAACGCCGGACTCCTCAGTTTGGGTGAACCTACCGGAGGAATAAATCTTCCCGCTGTACATCTCAGTCCGAGACCCAGGAACACCTTCCAGCCACAATGAGGCTCTAAACCGTTGAGAGGAGTTTCCTTATAGGTATCATTAATCACAGTTTACTATTGAAATCTATAAAACTTCTGAGAAAGAACGTGTAAGACCCAACTAATGTTGCTGATGTAGCAGTCAAGTTACAAAAGTAATTGCTTTTTTTATGCCTTAACGTCAAAGTAATGTGTGGTTTTTTTCTTTTTTGAAAAAACGTATTTCGGTGGTGTTCGTTTTTACTAGATGAGTTCAAAGGCAGTCGTTTCTGCAATTTTTGAATTTTCGGCCACCATTGTTGCTGGAGTTCCTTTCTGTACCTCTCAAGCTTTTCTTTTTGTGAAATTTTGGAGAACCACTATTCAAACGTATTTCTTTTCCAAAGGACGCCTTTCTCATTTCTGCAATTTCAGATCCTATTCTTCACGAAATGGAAATTCACTGATAGCACCGCAGCATGACAATCGTCGGTGGTCTCTAGCGTCGCTTCCGTCAACAAGTGGTTACGGAACGCCTGGGAGTAACTCTGCATTTTCGGTAAGCATAGATTGAATTGGTAAGGCGGTGCTGCTTTCTTTACGAAAAACTCTGTCCTTGTTAAATGCTTCTTCTTCTGGTTCATGGGATTCTTTCCATTGCCGTAGTTTTAGTAGGATAGTCCAAATTTCTGTTGTTTTAAATTGGAGACGTGCCACTTTCTATTTGTTTTCTGTCAAATTCCTACCAACAGAGAGAAACTTGATAAGCTCTTATGTTCCACTCCTACCCTTGTTTTTCTTAGTTAGTATATGTTTTTCCGTAAAGTTTTGCATCTTGTGATTGTGTCTCGCGGTGTAACTTTTTTAAACCGTTATTCTTCTCACGTTTAAGAGTCAGTACTCGTCATCAGAGCATCTATCGGAAATGATGGAATGCATGCGAGTTGGAGCGGCTCGTGTCGACAGTAATGAAAGTTGTCCATCAGCCGAAGACACTCAAAACACAAATTTTCGTCCGAGAAGCAGAAGCCTGACGTGAGCAGTTTGTTTAGAGTGATTTTTAATGGCCGCCGTTCTTTCATGCCTTTCTTTTTCTTTTCTGTGCTCAGTGCTGTATTTGCTTTTTTTGCTCCTTTGCTTCCTTTTTCTTCCTTGTTTCTTTACTCTGTACAGTACACTCTTCGAGACGTTTAGAGACAACAACAAATTTTAGTAGTCCAATCAACTTCAACACTGAATTTCATCTGAACGTCGTCAATCGTAACAGCGTGTACAAGGAGCGTTTTCCAAAGGTTTGTATGAATTTTATGTTTTTTATTGATTTGTTGAGGACTTTGGTTTCTTTATTCACTGGAGAACTTGGATAGATTTTTGAGATTCGTGGAGATCGATTTCGCTAAGAGTCCTATTTACATGTTTTTCTACCTATATTTTTTGATTTTTGCTTTATCTTTTTCTGTTACCTTGAAATTACTTCACACCGATCGATTCCACCTTGGTTATCATTTATTTTTATTAACTGTTCAAAATGGCTTACTATTTTTATAGACTGGTCACTTTCATTTTAACACATTGAGAATGGAATTTGTGCGGATATTTTGCTTATGTAAAAAATTTGTTACTATTTAGCTTTTAAAGCACCTTTAATCATGAGACTTTCCTACAAAATTTTTGTTAGAATTTTATAAGAATAATGTTTTGTAGAGTTTCACGTCCACTTCTTCAAATTTTCAAACAAAATCATTACTTTTTATTTTTGGTCACTACAGTAAATTGGTACCCGCAAAATTTGGAACCCTGTGGTTCCGCACTGGGCGAGTTCACCAAGCTATGAGAATAATGCGTTAAATGGTTTTCATGCTTGTATCTTTTTTTGAATTTGAATTATCGGTAAAAGTTCTCTGCAGGCAAAATCGCAAATGGAAGAGAAGCTGACGGCATTTGTCGCTGAGCACGCGCCTCTTAGCGGCGGCTCGTCGTCTGGAGATACGGAACTTATCTCGGACGGTGCTAGTAGTCGTCGCTCGATGGTAAACTTTTGCTTTTCTTTTTTTGTTTTTGTTTTTTTTTTGTAAATTTTAATTTATCCCATTTTTATCCTTCTTTTCCTTATTTCGAGGTGAATTAGTGTCACTCACTGTCTTGACGACCTTCATCCATTAATCCATTTGTGCGTTTCACCAACCACTTCATTTGCTTTCTTTATATTGTCAGGATTCTTTCTGCATACTGTATTGGTTTAAAAAGCTACCTCTTTACCTCTACGTTTCAAATTAAGGGAGCATGACTCCTGCTGGTTTCTTTTTTCGACATCTGATAAAAAAAATTTTTCAATGACGGCAGTGTTTGAGGTGTTTCATACCTGGAGGGTTAATAAGTCTTTAGCGGTCGCTCTAAGGATTCATGCGATTTCTCTAGAGTTTCTAGAGTAAAATCCGTTGTCGATATTTATAGAGACATTCGTTGAAGAGTTTCTAGAATTGCAGTACTTTGAGTTTCGTAATAGCTTGATTTCTAAACAAGTTTAAAAAAAGGGGTGTTTTAAAAATTGCAAGTGCACTTGGTGTGTTACAGCAAAGTCTTCTCTATAAGTTTATCAAGTTTTTATGACATGAAGTACTTTATCGGCCACTGGAGTTTATCAGCAATTGTCAAAGAACTGGCTTCATCGCGATTATGTTAAAAAGCTGTTATGTTCCTTACTTTGGGCTGCTTTTGAAGTGTCTTCTATTAAGGTTTTGGATACGGAAACATCCACGGATTTGGCTCTTTTACGGTTGATTAGTGACGGAGCAACGAGGTTCTTGCACCATCAAATTGTCGAAGTATTTTTTAAACATTTAAACCTATTATTTAAACGACTGTTCAATATATTTATTTTGTGTGAACTATAAAATAGGCATCTGGAGTTTCTCTCTAGGACTAAATTCGTAACTGGTTTATTTTCAGTTTTCAAAAAATTTGCTATCGTATTGATCACTTTAGTTCATGGTTTTAGGTGGCATCGGATTGTCTATCACGTTCTCGTGATGACACCATAACATGTTCGTATTTTTGCGAGATGAGTCAACGACTGGATGAAACATTGAACGAAGTAGGCGAGATTTATTATTATTATCTTATTATTCGATGGTGCGTGTAGTGCATTGCCTAGGAGTGCCTTGCATCACGCACGTGGTTCTTAGTTCAATCCAATACCCTACTTAACCAGGCCCTCTCCAATACTCCGCAGCTATCTTCAATCCTCCAAATTTGGCAGATTAGTACCAGACTTGTTAGAGAAGATAGAAAACACTGAATTGATACGATTTGATACATCAGTAAGCCACCACAAGTGAGTGTATAGACGAAACATGCATTCAATGACATGTACGTGCAGCGCTATATGAAGTCGAACGCATGGAGTATCCATAGGTGACAGAGATCGGAGTTTAGCACCTTATCCTGTTTATCCTTTGTGTTCGGTTCTAGACATTTCTTTAAACCTGTCGTATTACTTTATTATGCGTTCGCTGATGCGAAACTAGAAAAAAATTGTTTTATATATCGGTTTTATTAGTTGAAATACTCGATTTTCGAGGCAGACCTTTTATCGGTAATGTTTGCTTTTGTTTAAAGGTTGTATCCGATTTTCAGGCCCAGCAGAAGACGTCGCCTGAGTCGTTTGAATATCTCTCAAAACTCACGAAACAATTACTGATGATTGTGAGTCGGCCGGCACGACTTCTTGAATGTCTAGTAAGTTTCGCTTATGATCAATACCATTTATTGGCAACATATAGAATATTAATGACCGTGGGCATCTTTATGGTAGCCTGAGTATAGCCCACATCCAACTTTTGATGTAAATCATTAATGGTGCATTAAACGAACTGGAGACCTCGAAATGTATGTATTGTACATTTTCAGTTCCTTAAGGAACGAATTCGGCATCTCATGTGTAAGATGAAAACGTTTTAAAATCGTTTTAAGTTAAATGAAACTTTTCATGTAAAGTCTTATCACATGCCTTGACTAAGACGAGTAACTTCAAGGAATTCGATCCGGACGAATTCTATCATTTACTTGAAGAGGCTGAAGGTGTTGTAAGGGAACAGCTTGGTAGCGGTAGTGCTCGAGTACCGGATCTTCCGCAATACATCATTGGTTAGTTGAATAGCTTAAGAATTTACTTAATTATTAATTTTTTATTTTCAACCACAAGGATGCTGCGATATGAGGAAAACTGTGAACCTCAGATGTGCTTCGAATCTGCAAATACTCTTTTCAAGGTGGAAAACGGGTTCAAGTGTTATCCTTGCCACTGGACTACCGAAACCCTTGCTTTGTCTTCCTCTCAGTCAGTTTCTTGCTTTAGCGATGCTATCAGCAATCACCAGTGAACATCTGGAGTGGTCTCGGGAGAGCACGAATCGGCAATGAACCCAATTAGACTTTGTGATTTTGACTGCAGCTTCAGTTTAAATTGCAGATAATGTGGTGGATAGCAGGTGAGTTCCCGGAGAGGTAATCGCGGGTTCAAAGTCCAACTGAGGTCCTGAGTTTTGCTCATATCTCTGGTTGTGTTTCATAATACCCTATTGTGAAAAAGTATAAGCAGTGAGTAAAAATTAAACACTTCTGTTTTTAGTCTTAACCTGACTTTGTTAGCAGTTTTGTAATGCACTTTTAATTTCCGGCTCTGAATTTTGTGCTTTCTAGAGCAGCTTTTTTCTATCTTTGTACTTTATTTCCATTTCCACTCTGTTAGGTGGTCATTGTGTTAACAAACGCTCGGTCAATTCAAGAAACAAAGTTTCTGACGAATTAGTCAAAGTCAATCACAGAAATGAGCATAGTTCTTGTTATTTGGGAAAAAAACCAAGTTGAATAATTTCCTATAGGGGAGTTAAGAATAGGATCTTGTTTCATATTTTTTTCTCTTTCGTTCTTGTTCCTTCCTTCTTCTTTTCTGTGCATATCGTTCTTTCTTTTTCAGGAAAACTCGGCCTCGATCGGGATCCGTTGATGGATGTGGAACTGAGGGCCGACTCACCACCTAATCCAGCACCTACGGCCGAGCTAACTCGAATTGATGACGCCGTTCCTGAATGTTCTGAAGGCACAGTGACGCGGCAGAGAGCTCCACGCGAAGATGACTATGAAACTATCAAAGTTAGTTTTTCTCCTGAAATATTTACTGCAATTTTGGATTTTTTGCTTGTATTTCGGATCTTCAACGCTGTCCTAGTGGTTTTTCCCAGTGAAAAAGGTCTTACTTTAAATTTTTTCTGTTGTGTAGAGGTAAATTTAGAAGTGAAAGCATAACTTACCATATTGAGGATTTAAATGGGCTGCATAGACAAGTTGTGGTCTAGTTGGCCAACCGTTTGATGACGTAGATTCTGTCTGTTTTCTGCTTTGAGTACGAGTTTTCTGGTTTTCAGCTAGTAAGCAATGGCGCCTACGGTGCAGTTTACCTAGTGAGGCATCGTGAGACACGTCAGCGTTTCGCTTTGAAGAAAATGAACAAACAAACACTGGTTTTACGGAACCAGATTGATCAGGTAAGCGGACAAGCTTTTCTTGTACCTTCTTAGACGTTTCTCGTAGTGAAATAAGCCTACGAGCTATCCCAAATTACTCTCTTTTTGTACTGTGCCTAATTTCTATAAGTTTCAGGTGTTTGCCGAACGTGACATTTTGACGGTAGCCGACAATCCATTCGTAGTTTCCTTCTACGGTTCGTTCGAAACTAAACATCACCTCTGTATGCTTATGGAGTATGTTGAAGGTGGTGATTGTGCAGCACTGTTAAAGAACGCAGGCACTCTGCCAGTTGATCTCGCCAGGCAAGAACACGTTTTTCCTTATGATTTCATTTATTTTATTGTTTGATAAAATCTCCTGTAAGTGGAAAGTTTATATTCACATAATACTATGTAAACTTTTGAGTTTATTTATTATTCTTTGTGATTTAACCATTGTAGTTACGAGATCGCTTTGGTCACCTTCGAGCCGGAAGTTTATTTTAGTAGAAATAGAATAGTTGGAATTCTTCAAGTTGTATCTAGCAACGGTTGCTGTTTAATTAATCTAAAACCTCAGTGAATTTCCTTTTCTTCCTGTCACTAAGGAGAATATTTTGTTTTTTCCCTTCGAAAATATTTTTTATAACGGACAGAACTCAGCAGCATCGTTTGGGTGATTGGAAATCAAAAGTACTGCCGTCAGACATGATCGTGATGACTCTTGGGTTTAAGTTTTCTATGAAAGTACCACTGAATATTTCGTTCATGGTTTTATGGGCTACGCTCTACTGTTTGCTAATCAAGAGATATTTGTCAGGTTTTTTTTTCTCGAAAACTTCTAATGGTCCATATTTTAACTGTGCTTACTTCCATTATGTTATTGACCTTATTAGGTTGTATGTGGCGGAAACGGTGCTGGCCATCGAGTACTTGCATTCGTATGGCATCGTTCATCGTGATCTGAAGCCAGACAAGTTAGTTTCTTAGTTTGTTTTGTTGTAACTTATGCCAAATTGGAATAGGAGTCAAGATTTCCAGTTTGCTAATCACTGCAATGGGTCATATAAAGCTGACCGATTTTGGATTATCAAAAATCGGTCTCATGAATCGTACGACGTTGGTTGCGGAAGGTTTCGAAAACACCGCCGATACACAGCAATTTAAAGACAAACAGTTATGTGGAACACCAGAGTGCGTTGCTTTCACTAATATAATTCTTGATCCATTGCCAAATACATTTCGATGTTATAACGTTTCTACGATTGTCTTCATTTCTGTAGATATATTGCACCTGAGGTGATTCTGCGCCAAGGTTACGGTAAACCAGTCGACTGGTGGGCGTTAGGCGTGATTCTCTACGAGTTTCTCGTTGGATGTGTACCATTTTTCGGTGAATCACCGGAGGATCTTTTCTCAAAGGTTATAACAGGTGAGAAGCTTATAGCTATTAGTGTTTCACAATTTTAACTTATTATTTACTCCCTACTCTTTTTAACGGCAGGGTATACATTGTAAAATATAACTTCGATGATGCTGAAGTTTTTGCAAAACCCCGGACCGCAGCTGTATGCGGTGGGGAACAAACGCGCTATTGTCTTTCCGGGGAGTAGCGCGTTCACCACCAGACCACGCGGGTCCTTCGTTTCGCCTATTAATGTTTCATTTAATCAGCTGTATCACCTGTAGTCCCGTTGATCGTCGAGTGACTCGAGCGGGCGCCAGTAAATCTACTACTTTTCCTTGTCGCGTGCAAGAGTAGCCCAGTGCATTCCGCTTGCTCCAACGGCCCGCTGAGTATCATACCTTTCTTCCAGGATTTTCGTGAATAACTCTGACTATCGGATCGGTGGTCTTTCTGCGGTACATTTGACATGGCTGGGAATCCAGTTGCTAACGGCTCTTGTACATCGGTTGTCGTTTATAAGAATTACGCGTCCAGGCCACCTTATGTTCGACGGTTTAACGTACAGAACGGCATCTTTGATTTTTGATCGTTGACGCAGATCGGAGCTTCGGATACCATCCCTTAATTGTGTGGAACGGGATACTCTTAGCATCTTCCTTCCCACTGCGCATTCGATGTCTGATGCATACGTCAGGGGAGGAAGTACCTTTGAGTCGAAAAGGTGGGCACGGAGTCGGGTGTTCTTTGTTCTCTTCATTACATCCTCGATGATCTTGAAAGCTCTCCAAACTGCTCGTTTTCTTCTGCTCAGTTCTGGAGCTAGGTCGTCCATCATATTGATTTCCCGACCTAGATAGGTATAACTGCAGCATTCAGAGATATACGTTCCGTTGAGCGTGAATGGGGCGTGTGAAACCAATCCGTTCTTCATGAACATTCTTTTTGTGAGATTTAGTTGAAGACCAATCTTTCCACAAGCTTTCTCAAAGTCGTCAAGGACACGTTCCGCTTGGCTAATGTTTGGTGTTATAAGTACGATGTCATCAGTAAAGCGAAGGTGGTGTAACTGCCTACCATCGATTTTCACTCCCGTATTATCCCATTCTAATGTTCGCATAACGTTTTGGAGTGTGGCGGTAAATAATTTTGACGAGATGGCATCGCCTTGCCTAACTCCGCTTTTGATGTCAATGTTAATATCGTTGTAGAATGGTGATATCTTGGTTGTGAATTTTTTGTGCAGCTCACGAAGAATCTTTATCTACTGAGTAGGGACTCCTTGACTATCAAGGGCTTCCCAGACTGCTTCCATCTCAACTGAATCAAACGCCTTCTGTAAATCGATGAAAGTGGTACAGAGCGGTCTTTTGTACTCTCGCGATACTTCAGTGAGCCTTGTTGCCGTGTGGATGTGGTCCATCGTACTAAATCCTCTTCGAAAGCCTGCTTGTTCACATGGCTGTCCTTCGCCCAATGTTCTGTCAATCCTACTTAAGTCGACTCAAGTGAAAAGTTTGTAGACGACAGACAGCAAGCAGAATGGACCAAAGTTGCCAATATAATCTTCTTGAACAATAACACGGTCTTGCTGGTCTTCCACTGAGTAGGGACCTTGTCTTCAGACAGGTAACGTGTGAGGAGCCGAGCCAGTGTGTTTGCGAGGACTGGCGGAAGGTTCTTCAGGTGCTCTGGTTTTATCCTGTCCGGACCTGGTGCTTTTCGATTTTTCACCGACGAAATGGCATATCGGATTTCGGAAGGGAGAACCGTTGTACAACATATCCATCCTCTATTTCATATAACGGAAGGTGGACGTGGCTATCGATGAGATCCGAGAAGTATTCGTGAATGATTTTCTCCATTGGCTTTCTGGACGCTGTAGCTGTTCCTTCTGGGTGCCGGAGAGCAATCATTTTGGGCTTGTAATTGGCGAAGCTTCGATATGTTTTGCTTTTCCAATTTTTTTTGCAAATTCTTTTCCCAGCCTCTGCAGTTTCGGCCATTACTGCTGCTCTTTTCTCTCTAAGATTTTCTTTCATCGCCTGTCTGCATTGTTTTGCAAGCTCGGACGTTAGTTCACGGTTGCCTGCAGCACGTGCGATTCCACGGTGGCGTATCAGCTCGAGTGTTTCTGGAGACAGACGTCTCTTGGTGACTTTCGAACTCTGAGCACTCATAGCGCTAACGTGAAGATGTTGAATGAGCTGGTTGTATGCTTTCGTCGATGTTACCGACAACGACATCTTCCCAACAGCCGACTAATGAATTGAATAAGTCCCAGTTTATGGTGGTTCTGGGATTTCGCTTTTTGAATTTAGCGGCTTTTTCTCCTTTGCGCGAGAAATAGATTTGCACGAAGGAGGCGATGGTCTGATCCCGTGTAGAATTTCGGGACAGCACCGAAATCGGTAAGGCAACACCTTCGATTTACTATGATGTGGTCTATTTCGTTATAACACTCTCCATTGGGAGACTCCCACCTCCAGCGCTGAGTGTGGGGCTTCTGGAATTGCGAGTTACTATGGATGGTCTTGGTCGTCACGATAAACTCAGCCGCTCACCCAGTTCGTTCCATTCTAATCTGTGGGTCCCAATGTGACGTTCTTCAGATGTTTTTCTTGCTCCAATCTTGGCGTTGAAATTTTCAATGATGACCTTGAAGAATGTGTGGTCTTCTCTGCAGAACTTTTGCAAGTCCACATAGAAAACTTCCACTTCTTTTTCGTCATAGTTTGATGTCGGGGCGTAAACGGCGAAGATTGTTTCATTTAATACATACGAAAATGTGCAGCATTTTGCGCAGAAAGGAATAATGTGGTTTTTGAAATACAACCACAATGAAGCTGAGATATTTGCAAAGCTGCGGTCCGCAGGTGTCTGCGGTGGGGATCGAACACGCTATTACCCTTTCCAGAGACTAACGCATTCACCACCACACCATCCGAGTCCCTCGTTTCACCCTTCTCTTAGCCATGTTCAACCTATAGGTGCTATTAGCAATCACTCACCAACGGAATTGATCTGGGTAGCACAAAACGGCATTGAATCCAGTTAAACTGAAGCTATAGTCTAAATCACAATGTAGTTGGTTTTTATTTACTGCCTATGGTAGGGTATTTTTAAGTATAACCATAATGATGCTGAGATCGTGTTCGGTCCCCACAGCATACTCCGGCAGTCTGATTTGCAAATATCTTGGCTTCTTTGTGGTTATATTTCAAAATCTTACCTTGCCATAGGCTGTAAATAGAAAATTACTACATATATGGTTTTTCTTAGCTTTTCCAATCACTTCGCTCTTTTGAGAGAGAGCAGACCTCCACATTTTTTCCTTTTTGATATGCGTTTCTGTTTCATGGCAATCTCGCAGCAATTTTGCATCTGAGATTATTGCAATTCAGAAGACGTTGAGTATCCGGATGGCGACGAAGCGTTACCGGCTGAGGCGGAAGATCTCATAAGACGGCTTCTTGAGAAAAATCCATTCGAGCGACTAGGTAATCGAAGAGTTTTTGTTTTTTTTTCGTCGAGTTAGCATGATGACTTCGGTTTAGGAACACTGGTTGGTGCCACTCAGCTAATGGTACATCCGTTCTTCAACTCACTAGACTTTAATTCACTGCTGCGTCAGAAGGCTGAATTTGTACCGCAACTGGAAAATGACGAGGATACGAGCTACTTTGACAGTAAGTAGTTTGGCCACTTCTTTAATATATGAAAATCTTTTCCAACAGATAATAAAAGACGTCGAAAATTTCTAGATTTGTGCTGCAGTTGTCGGTTTTTCACTTTAGGGAAATGATTTTGAAAATCTGGTTCTACATTTTATTGCTTCACTGGAACTATGCAGTATACGGTATAAGTATATCGTTTTGATGATTTTGGGGATGTTTCTATTTTCGAGCAACTAAAATGTGGCAGGTGGAATTCTTTCTCCATTGCCCACACCTCCCCCTCCCTTCTTTCTCCCCTAACACTTGAATTGCCGCTTTTTTTAGTGTTTCGTTTCAATATACTATTTTAAAATATCATGTTCACCAACTCAGCTCGAAATGATCGCTACAATCATGACGCTGAATCGTGTGGTGAGGAGGAGGTCCCGGCCACGGCGACTGTAGCGCCGATGTTCCATTCGTTTTCGACTGCAAGTCACAGACATTCTGTCGCCGCTGTAGACGCGAATCAAATTCCTCACGTAAGTCAAATTTGTCAGAGTGGAAAGAAAAGAAAACAAGTAACCTAAAGCCTAAAAATGAACTGGACGCAGATGTTGCATCTTTTCAGAGCAGTACTACGGTATCTCATACAGAACGTTCACGAAAACAGTCGTACAACACGCAGTCTAGTGAAGATCAGTCGTATGCAGACTTAGTCGATGAGAAGGATTGTCAGATGCCATCGGTTAGTTACTGAGCTTCTCTTACAGCTTTTAGCGCTTCGTTATATTTTACAAAGTTTCTGGTTTCCACTTAATGCTTTGTTTACCGTGTTGTGATGTTATCCTACGGCTATCTGTTGCTTTATATTGGTTGTTGTTCTGGTTGGCTCTGGTTGTTAAACTGGAAGCGAGATTTTGCTTTAACAGTAATTTGGAAGCTTTACGATTCTTTTTTAGACTTCCTATTTTAGAAAGCTTCTAAGGTAACAAAACTTGCCCACATTATACCTGTGTTGCTCTAACTTTTTCTTCTGACTTTATATTTTGTTTATATATTTTTTAAAATCTGATGTGAAGAAGAGATTCTTCGTTGTTGTAACATTTATTTTCTATGTTCTGTATTGTTTTTGAAAAGAGTCATCCTTTTTTGCTGTTCATCCTTTTTTTTGTGTCGCTCTTCATTTATTCATTCTTTTTCTTTTCTTCAGAAGCTTTTCTTTTTTCTCCAACTCAATACAGTCTATTTGAAATTGGCTAAAATTAGTAGTGATTCGCATTTAATGCAAACAACTTCGAATTCAGGCAATGCTTCTCCGTCGTCGTTTCTCCGCGCAACGTCAGGCGAACATCTCGTCGTCGTCGAGCACTACGGCAGGTACTGGCTGTCAGAACATAGCGTGTTCATCTACTGACAGCAGCATGGACGCGTCGCATGTCAGCACTGTTATGGTGGGAGTCGATACGAGAAAGTACGTGTGCATCATTTAATTGAAATGAGTTGAGTGTTCTGCTGTTTTCTGTAACTTGTGCAGCACACTCTTCAAACTATGGGCATAAAAGGGACTCTATGAAATTTTTTATTTTCATACAATCCGTCTTCACGTCTACTGTATGGCTCTCAGCACTCCTTATATTCGATTTATTTCCTTGCATTAACCATCCACGCATATTTTCCACCTTAAACGTGTGGCTTCGGTCGCTACTTTAGGATTTTCATTTCGTCTTGAATGTCGTTGAGTGCTGGTTGAGTCGATTCTCCCTGCAGTCCTGGAATAGTGCTGGAGAGTACCCAGTTAGATTGCAAAGAGTGATCTTTTCCCCTAAAAGTTGGGTACCAATTTGCTGTCACTGGGTTCGAACTAACGCCGTTCTCTTGATGATCGGCATCACTACAGCAGCGCTATGCGCGCCTTCTGTATGAAGTTGTGGTTCAGAAATCGACTGCTTTGGATTCAGTAGTTTTCTGGTTACGAAGCATCGTGACAGTAGAATGGTTTTATATTTGCTTATGAAAACCAGCACTGATTCAAGTTGCAAAGCTGGGATTTATATCCGTCGTGAAGGTCGCTTTTTTGTTGATAACGTAAGATTTGACTGTAAACCTCACTGGTATTCCTAAATCGGTCGCGTTTGGCGCAGTGTCAGAGGTGTCCGACAATGAAGACGTAGGGGTTGATTAGATCTCACATAGGGCTAAACAACGCCGCTCATTAATGCGCACCGAGTCCTCATACATACCAAGTATGCATTCAACCACATTTACGGTGCTACGAATAAAGTCTTGATGCGTGGAACGCCCCTACAGGGTAGGATCAACCCTGAGCACTTTGTCATTACCCTTTTATTCTTCGGCAAAAAAGCTGGCTACGTCAGAATCGCTGGTTTACAGATCATCCTTACTTCGGGTTGCCATCTCTTGTGATTCTAATCAGCAAAATCATACAGCGAATGAAGCTCGTGTGAATAAGGAATTGTCACCCGTCGATGAGTCAGTTCGATTCAGGGTGTGTTCTTTTATTTCTTTTATTTCACTTAAGCAATTCTTCAGAGTGACATTGACCACCACTCTGAACCGCGAAGCTGTGGTCAGGAACATCGAGCCACAACAATTAGAATATTTGCAAAAGACGAATTTTCCTGAATATGACTGAGAATGTCTGGTTTTACCTGGGAAATTCAGGCTCACTCGCCCCCTGCTCCACTACAGCTCATAATCAACCCGGGTTCATCTACCTCGAACGAACCAACGTGCTCTAGCGTTAACGACCAGTGTTATGTAGTAGGTTTTCTACCCTACTGAGATCCAAAAAACTGCTGGTTGAACTATTAAGTTCCACCGTATTTTCAGATGGCAGGTAGTCAATTGTCACCTGGCGCAGTGTCGGGGTCATCGGCCTCTTCGTATGATGGCGCCATGTCTCATATTCATAATGGAGAGCAGTTCAGTCCTGCGCTTCCACTTGATAAGCCACCACTCATTATCAGGTTTACAACTGCAGTATAAAACATTACCCTATGCGCCCATTATTGTTTTCTCTAACATTTTTTTTTTTAAAGAAAAGGTCCGTTTGGATTTGGATTCACGCTGAAATCGGTACGCGTCTATTTGGCTGAACACTCGGATTACTACACTATAGAGCATATAGTGACAGCTGTTGTAGAAGGTTGGCTATGGTTTTGAGCATGTGTCTTGGATGGATGAAAAATGTGTGTTAAAGCGTTTTTGCACAAGGAAATGAGCAGAAATCTCCTGTTTATTGTCTGCTGAAAACAAAATGCTTGAAAATGTCTCCCTGAAGTTTTTTTTTTGTAAACTGCGATAGAACAAGTTACGATGTGCAGGTTGTCTGTTTAGGTGTTTTCTATTTTGTTTTCAATTGCTTTGCTTGCTTTTCTCTTTTTTCTTGTTTATTTTTACTTTTATTTTATCTGACCCATTTTTACGTCTACTATGCGGATCCCAGCACTTCTCACATTCAATTCGTTTCCTCGCATCCATTGTCCACAAAGGTCTTCCAACTTTATGAGTGACTTCGGTTGCTGCTTGAGGATTTTCGTCTCATCTTAAATGTCGTGGAATGCTGGTCGAGCAGTTCTTCCTGGAGTCCTGAGATAGCCGGCCTGGATTGTAGATTTTCTTCTACAGTTCCAAAGCAGATGTGATGAATTTTGGCTGAGAAATGTCCAATGTGAATACTCCGGAATGAAACTCCAGAAAAAATTTATTTTTTGGAGAGACTATCGCTCACGCGCTTTCTCCAATATGTTTTTCGTTTTAAACGAAATTTAGTTGGAGATGCCCAATGAAAAATTCGAGCCAGTGGGAAGGGAAAGGGGAAAAAGAGCGTCATAAAAGAAGTGCAGTTCTTTTTTCTTGAGATCAAGTTGAACTCATGAAGAGCGATGGGTTCGAATTTTTTCCGAAACTATGTTCGTTTTTTAACTTATTATTTACTGCCTACTCTTTTTAACGGTAGGGTATACATTGTGAAATTTAACTTCAATGATGCTGAGATATTTGCAAAACTCCGGACCGCAGGTGTATGCGGTGGGGAACGAACGCGCTATTGTCCTTTCCGGGGAGTAGCGCGTTCACCACCACACAACGCGGGTCCTTCGTTTCGCCTCATTGAATCATTCATCCAATCCAGCATCATTGAAGTTATGTTCGTTTTGTTCATTCTTGAAACTTTCTGGTGTTTTTACAACATTTGCATCACTATGTTTACTTCTACAATACCAAGATTAGCCTTACAACTGCCTTTGACGCTAACTATTTTGTTCAGGTAGTCCAGCTTCTGAAGCCGGTCTTCGTTGCAACGATCTCATTATAGCCGTGAACGGACAGGCTGTTCATAATCTCACACATCCGCAACTCATGCATCGCCTTTTAAGCTACGGAAATGAGTTGGTGTTGAAGGTGCTGCTTGTGCGCTGCAGATTTCGATACTGACGTTAATGTTCTTTTCTGACGTTCCAATATTCACTGTCTCTGTTTAATCTCTTTCATTGCCCTTCTAGGTCACTCCACTTTCGGCAACGTCCATAAAAGAAGGTGCACCAAGAAAAACACTGGGAAAGCTAGCGAAAAAGAAGCCGAGGCGTCCGCAACGTCGTGTTGCTCTAGAGAAGAAACCGAGGTATGCAGCTGATCCTTGTTCAGTGCTCAGTTTCCTTAAGTTTATGGTTTTTCAAATGTGAAATGCTAAGAATGTCTCTTTTATTCTAGGTCAAGAGGTTCTTTTCCATACAGTGTTCTTAAAATTTTGCACTAGGTCAATTGAATAGGCGTATTTAAAATCATAAAAAAGTTGAATATTAGTTTCTTTGGTATGATTGTTTTAGAAAGCCGTCATCCTTGCTTCGACGCCTTAGCGGAAAACGTGCCACAAATGACATTGTTCCGGGTAGTTCGTGCCAAAAACAGACATTTATGCCAAGGTGAGCAAAGAGATCAAAAAGAATTTAGCTGCGCTGAACTAGACATAATATTCTTATGTGATATGTAATAATTAAGGTCTGCATCTAGTCAGGATAGTGTAATTCTTGGTGGCCCACTTACCACGATGTGTCCTCCATGTGCGACCAACACATCAACTGGAGCAAGCGCGGGTAGTGTAGCTGGAATCAAACCGATCTGTAGTAAACGCATGTCTGATGCTGGATTGAGAGAAGAGAATCGGTATGATTTTGTAGTTCCATTCACTTTTTTCTTTTTGTTTTGAGCAGCGTATGTGTTGCAATCGCAAAACCACGTAGTCCAACCCTAGGTCACGATCATGGCGTTGAACAATAGAAATAACGGCTGTAAATTTGCTGCCAGAAAATTGAATGACGAGTGGGGAACTGTTGCTTGTTCGGAAATTCTAAAGACGCTTAATCAAGTTTTGCGTATAAGATTATAGCCCAGATTGTTTTTCATCTCTTCAAATGATTGCTTTACATCCAGGTCACCTCTTGTTTCGTCACGACCGTCATCGTTGAGGGTTCCGAAGCAACCAGCACCATCTCCCAGTGTTTGTCCTAGTGGCCCGTCAGCAAATGCTATCAACGTTGTCAAGATACCTACATCACCGATACCAGTTAGCCCACTTGCCAGATCAGAGCAGCAAGATGCTCCCGCTCCAGTGTTCACAAGGTGAGGTTTGTACAAAGACGTAGAATTTACTCATAAAACATTTCACCAAATTTTGGAAACCATAGATTGGCTATCTAATTTTATTTACCTATTCCATTATATCCTTCTAATGCTTTACAGCCTCATCGTGGCTGGGAGGTGTTCCTGGGTGTCGGACTGCGACGTACAACGGGGGATTCATCCCTTGGCAGGATCTTCCAAGCTGAGAAAGAGTCGGGCATTTACATTAGGAAGCCTAGATAAGAGTAAACCAATACTAGGATCCACCACCGTCCTGTTATCAATGTCGAGTAGTGGCAAATCTCCCTCTGATCCACGAAGGCTGCGACTGCCTGTGGTGGTGAACACCTGGGGCAGACTTTGGCCAAGATGACCTCGGGATTCCAGGGAACCACAATGGCTTAACCATCAAATCTCCGAAGAATGGAGATCACGCTGGGACCCACACAACCAGTGAGGACGAGCCGTCCAAGTGTCAAGTGTGTCAAGATCAAATTTCATCTCCTTCTAGGGTCAATGAATTAGTACCAGTCGTGTGTGGGAGAATAGAAACCACGTCGGTATACTCCCGCAATTTATTACAAAGGCCAGTTATTCATTCAGTATATTCTATGAGGTTACAAATGAACTCCAGTAATTGATTAATCAGCACCAAACGCATTATCCTTTATTTCTTTTCCCCCTGTTTTAAAAGTGAGGAAATCCATGACTGAAAAGTTGCTCTAAATTGTTTACATGGATATTTGAGGGTTTCAGATCGCCAAGTCCAACTTCGTCCACCAACAAGTTCATAGCGAGTGGGCGATCTTTTCTGCGTTTGCTGCATGGCGATGAAAAGCATTAGCATTTAAAACCCGTCAATGAATTGATTGGGCAACCTTTAAGGGTTCTTACGCTGTAAATTTTCCTTACTATAGTGTTACCATACTGTAACAAAAAAAACTGTACATATAAATTTATGTTCATTGTATTTCGGGTAGACTGAGGACTGATTGTTACTGTGAAAGTAATTTTTGTAACTGTTTGTTTATTCCGCTGTAACATCCTCTGTTTGCATGATCTTTTCTGTGCGATTTGATGATACACGCCGATAGTTTTGTCATCTAAACAATGTATCACCTTGTTTTTTGGAGCACGGCTTTTTTGTTAGTCTCTTTGTACTCTATGGTTCCTGTGAGTAATAATTTACATTGTGTCCATCATAGTGTTTTCTTTCTTAGAGAGGAAAAAATTGCTTATTATATCAGCTGTTGTACTTCATAAAATGCATTTTTGACGGTGTCACTATCTGTGTTCAATGTGAGCTCGCACCACTAAGTCTCTGAATTGTAGTGAGTTGAGCTCGGTGCGTGGGTGTGTGTGTGTGTCTATGAAACCACTGTATCGTTGCGATCAAGGCAAGATCTTAGCTTTAGTAGTTTTCTACTTAAATGATGTTTTATTAGATGGCAGAGTCCTTCACGCTTCTGATCGCGGGTGTTATTTTTGCTTGTATTTGTACATCTCTGTGTGTTCATTGATTCACTTTGTTCTCTAATCCATTGTTCAGTAGCTGTCCCTTACATTTTCTTATAGTGACACCGTTCTTTCTTTCTATTTGTTCGGTCCTATTCAGTGTTCCGTTGATGGCTATTTGTTAAAGACTTGCCATCTGTTTCATTTTTTTCCAAAGACTGACAACGTGTTCGATAAAGATTCGTGTAAGAAGTGTTTCTAAGTAATACAAAGCGAGAAATGGAAATTAGATGTGGAGGAATCAGTGCAACACACCAGCTATGCCTGCGTATTTGGGAGGAGGCGAAGTTTGTGACGAATAGTTTCTTCAGAGTTACACCAAGGCACTAGAAGGAACGTTTTCTTGAACGGTATTTTTTGGACTAATTTTACCATACTCCGGGCAATCCATGGATAATGGGAAGTCACAGAAAACAGTTATGGTTCATTCGCGAAGACTTTTATAATTGGTGGGAATGTATTTGTTCACCTACAGTATCCTGAATTCAAGGGCATGTTATTGATGTTATCAAGAAGGAGAAAATGGACGAAAAACTGATGATGCTGCCGTGGTTCACGACTAATGGCACACTTCAATAACGAATTGGTGTCGTCTTTGTTTTCGAAAAGCATAAAGTTGCCACGTCAGCTACTCGTTGATCTCCATTCTCTGCTGACACCCGTGAAAAATCGTCTTTCGTTGCTCGGTGTTATGAACGTCTTGCTTGAACGTTTGAACTTTGTCAAATATTTGACTGGTTTCGTTTTTCTAACCAACCATTTGGTTGTCAGCACATCTGCTAGGAGCCCCTCTCTTTTGCTCGTAAGCAAATGTTCTTTTCCTGGATTGCCAATAAACCTTTACTAGGGCGTTTTCAGTCCGTTATAGATATAGATAGTCGTACGCTGTTGTGAAGTGGGCGAAGGTAGGTCACCTTACGTCAACCTTCCAAACGAAGTGGTGTCGATTCCTGACATTGGTCTACTCTTTGAACTTTTGGACAACGATATAAATCTCCGTCCCAACTTGAAAGACTGTGATGGTTGGGTATACTCTTATCTTGTACAACACCTCGACTAACACTGTGGAACGTTCCTCTGCCACCATCAGGCATTGATCCATAATGGGAAATATGTCAGAAATGAACAAGAAAAAGCAGGCAAAGTGAGCAATAAGTGGATGTATTAAATCAGTTCTGGCTCATGTGGCACAATGGTTAAAGGGTATCTGAAATAAGCACGAAGTAATTTACTGGGTTCCGCGTCCTGAGTTAACCAAATCGTACATTATTCCCTGGTCGGCAAAGAAGTAGCAGATTTGTCTGGAAGGAAAAAAAAACAGTGACATGTTATATCGATATATCTCGACAAGTGGGCTAAATATGCGCTCCTTCAGCACTTCTATAGTGCAAATGAAGTTGATGTTAAATGGCATCTGAAAAGGATAAATCAACTCCGAAAACTCGATTTTTTTATGCTTTCTATCCCTTTAACACATAGACTTCTAATCTAGCATTTCAGAAACTGGTATATTCTGATAACTGGAATAACTGGGACGTTGAAAATATTGTAAACCTTGTGCCGGAGAATTCGTCTCGTCGTTCGAAGTATAAAATTGGATTCCGAAAAAGGCCGTTTTATTTTAAAGCCCAAATTTTCCGAAAAACTATAAGCGAAGGTTAAATGTCTCAGGACATCTTGCGTAAGTATGACATTGATGATGGACACAATTATGTCCCAGTGGATGTAGCCTCTTTTGTTCTGTCGTTTCGCTCATTCAAGTGCCTTGATGAGATAAAAGGGGTAAAAACGCTTTATTTACTACTCAATAGTAAAGATGTTTTTTTTGTGTCATTTCGCAACTACTAACAACTAAAATTACCCAGCAACATTTTGCTCGGCCTCATTTTTCTTGCTGTTTATCGTTTTCATCTGCTCAGTTGATACCGGAACAACTGACTCGTTAAACTCGACGGCTGAGGTCACATTTCTATACTCCATCCCAAAAGAATCAGCCTCATCGTTACTTTTACTTAGTTTTACTTATTTATAGTGCACTTAATTTCCCACATAGACAGTGAATACTTTGGTCCTTCCAGTTATCGAAGAAAGACGATAATATAACATAACCAGAGTCTATCGTTAAATGAATTAGTGGACAAGATAGATTTTTTTAAACAGGAACGGGAAAAAAGTTTGGTTCGTCGTTGTTGTAAAGTAGTGTGACTCTTCTACATCAAACAGGGGTTTTTTGCTGATTTGAAAAAAAACTCCTCTCTAGTGTTTCGCTTTGGAACGCTATTCTTCTTTCCATTTATGAAAGAAAAAACATATTTTTAGCACCGACTGCGCACTTTTTCCACCTTCCAGAGCTTTTTGAAAACTTCGCGCTAAATGGACGATTCTCTGAAGTTGTAAACAACTATAAAACATGCAAATAGATGTAAAATGGAAAGCAAAATAATGTAAATAGACATAAACATAGATATCAGATATTTCTATCGATCTTTTTGCCACGAAACAAAGGACCCGCATGGTGTGGTGGTGAACGCGTTACTCCCCGGAAAGGACAATAGCGCGTTCGTTCCCCACCATAGACACCTGCGGTCCAGAGTTTTGCAAATATCTCAGCAACGTTGTGGTTGTATTTCGCTTAGTAACCTGCCATGAAAATTATAGAAGGCAGAAGACAAAACGTTAGACATAGATATCAGAGTTTAAAATATCTAAAAAATCTGTAATACATAAAAAGTTCTATTAATTTTTTCGACTACCTTTCCAGAAAATGCTACTGTTCTCGCTACATGTCTAATCACATATGAAGTTGGGTATTTCTTCTATAATTATATTGATTTTGGCTATCTGAGAGAGATACGAAACGAAGGGGACGCATGGTGTGGTGATGAACAAGTTAGCTCCCGGAAAGGGTAATAGCGCGCTCGTTCCCCACCGCAGCGATTCGGAGTTTTGCAAATATGTTAGCATCATTGAGGTTGTTTGGTGTTGATTTGGTTTTTTTTTTTGAAAAAGTTTCCACTCAAATAACAAAAACCCTCTCAGAGTTGAAAGAAATCATTTTTAAAGTATGCAACATTAAAAGTTGTTTTCTAGGATTCTTCAGAATAGCGTCGATAAGTCGAAAGGCCGACTTTCTATAAACCTCGGCATGGATAGTTGATATATTTATTTATGTGATCTTATAAACTGATCTTCTTAAGCTGACGCGAGGTTGGTACAGATCTTCGTTGTCGTTGTCGTTGTTGTTGATGTCGTTGTTCGATGGTTGACGTATATGAAAGTCGATATATGAAAGTGTCGATAAGTGTCAGTAGAGCTACTATCGCTATTTTTCCCACGGTACAGTGCATTTTCTCACGGTCTCCTTCTATTCTCATTTCAATCTTAGCATTGTACGCAGTACAAAATTCGAAATAATGTACTAGTGATTAGATCGTTCTACTTTCTTCTTGTTTCATTTTTAGATAATGTAATGTAGGTGGGAGAGAATAA